AGCTAGGGTGCGGACTCGGACAGATAAGCAAATTCCTCTTCGCAAAATATAAAAAAATGACAGCCATAGAAATAGACAGTCGAGCTCTGTCCGTACTCAGCAGAACCATGCCAGGCTTTGACTTCATCCACGACGATGTCTTGCAAATCAATTATAAAGAACTCTCCCAAAGTAAAGGAACAAAGTTAACCGTAATAGGAAACTTACCCTTTTACATCACGTCGCAAATATTGTTCTGCCTCCTCGATTACCACCATTACATCGAACAGGCAATCGTAACAATTCAGTACGAAGTCGGCCAGAGAATTATCTCCAAAGTGAATGAAAAAAACTACTCCATATTAAGTATCCTCTTTAATTTGTACTCAACGCCCTATTTGCTTTTTAAAATTCCGAGCGGTGCCTTCTACCCCGTTCCAAAGGTAGAAGCAGCTGTGATGAAGATTATTTTTAGACATTACAACCTGAACTGTAATTTACTTTTTTTAAAAGAGATTTTACGGCATTCGTTTCAGCAGAGGAGGAAAAAACTCAAGTCCAGTTTGAAGAGGCTCCTTGCGAAATATTCCACCACAAAGGAGCTTCAGCTTCCACCATCTGTTTGTCATTTGAGACCCCAGCAATTGACTCCTCCGCAGTTCGTCGAGTTGACCAACTTTTTATTTCCGCTTAGCTCTTACCCTTTTGACCCCACTGTGCAGACAAAGGTGTGGCGAAAGAAAAAGCACGGAGATTGATCACTCCTTCTGGAAGTGACGTCATTGAAGGAGGCACACAAATGTGTGGTAAAGGTACATCCCTCGAGTTGCCTTTTTTTTTTCCCTTCTCAAACGGACCATTCTTTATATTGTTTTTTTCCCTCAGTGCGACAGCTACAACCTGACCTGTTCAGACGCCTTCACAATGTGGCGTTCCTCTATGCATGCTTTATTTTTATGTACCCTTTTTTTTTCTTTTTTTCCTCTTCTTGCACTTTTTTGCCTGTTGTAGGCTACATTTGGGGGGCTCCCCCCCATGCAGTAGCCCCACTGAACTTTTTCCCTCTCCCCCAACCCGTGAAACAACACACACGGCGCAGTTCTCACTGTGGGAAGAGTCCCCCCTGTGTGAAGCAACGAAAAGTTGGTTTAAGCACCAAGGAGGGTTACCCCACGTTGGTATGCCATTTTACGGATGTTCCATTTTACGGATGTTCCATTTCACGGCTGCTGCATTTTACGGCTGCTGCATTTTACGGTTGTTCCATTTTCCCGCGCAACGTAAAGCTGACTGACCCGTGGCGAGGCGGCGTCCGCGCAAGCGGATGGACAATCTCCTGCAAACGGATGGGCAAATGTACCTGCACGGCTGCATAACTGCATACGTAGGGACATTCATCGAGGTATCCCCCCCATTTCAACCCGCGCGGCGACGCAGACCCAAACAAAACAACTGCTGTGGCAAAAACATGCGATGGCACGCGACATACAAAGTTAAAAATGATTTTTTTTCACTCTTCCCTGGCACGTTAAAATTTTCCCCTTTGAAGTCAACGCCGCTTCACCACTCGCACGGTTTCCATTTGGCTGCCCAGTTTGACTGCACCGGGTAGCCAGTCTCATGCGTATACCTTGTGCATACAGGTAACCCCATGAGGGGGAGGCACCCCGATGAAGAAGGGAACACCCCTCCAAGTGGAGAACCACCTCCTGTTTGGCGACCTGTTCCGCATGGCTCCCTACAAACACGCCAAAACTGTGCCCGTGCAAAACAGAAAAGGCCCGGCGCACCCCCCTGGTATAGCAAAAATAAATGCGCAACAGGGTGGCGTTTTGCCTTTCAGTTTTTATTTAACTCATACGTACGTAAAGATATTTGCAAGATTTTTTTTATTTCTCCTTTTTCCATTTTTAACGAAAAAATTTGGCTTTTCTCTTGAGTTACGATTTCCCAAATGAAGGCAAACGTGTACGCGTCCTCGCCCGAAAGTATGTAACTGCCTGTTTGGGATTCTTCGCATTCAGGCGGGGTGTTGCAGCGGAGGGTTGCAGCGCGGGTTTCTGATGCTTATTTGTGGCGCCATCATATGACGCTCCCATGTTATGCTCTCCTGCGACGCTCATTTTCTACTTCTCCGTTGTGACGCCCATTTGGGTACCACCCCCCTGCACTCCACTTCGAAGCACGGAGAGTGACAATAACGTCGCCATTCACTCGTGAAAGCAAACACGTAACGGATTGAAGTTGTCGGAGGGAACGACGCGTAAAAGCGCCTACCGATGCAGCCGCCTATGTAACGGCGACAGTACCTGCCCACGTGGAAACGAATGCCGAGCCCCACGGAGGTCTCCCATGACTGCCACCCTGCGCGGGTAACCATTGGCACCCCGATTCAGTTTCTCCTTGGGACAACAACCCATCAGGAGATAGTTTGCCCAAAATGAAAGACATAAATAGCCTCTTCACCTATGAAGTATGCCTGCTGAATCAGTTCAGAGAAAATGATATTGCAAACAACCTTCCAAACGTTAAGAAATCGTATGAAAAAATACTTCTATCCATCTTCGAGGAAGTGAAGAGATATCAAGCGGATTTATACACCAGCCAGAAGGATGAAACTGGAAGTGAAGGTGTGTCGACAGGGACACCGCAACATCACTCCGTTGATGAGGATGCTAATGAGGAAGTTATCGATTTAGCAGAAGCACACACAAAGGGAAGAAGTAGCGAAGTACGAAAGAGGAAGCGCAATGCAGATTGGGAAGAAGCCGATAAAAAGGGAAGCCCAAGTGGGGACGAAAAAGAGAACACAAGTGAGAAACGAGATGGTGGAAGCAACCAAAGTAACAGAAACGTTCGTGAGAATATCTCGAACTACGATGCAGCCAAGGGGAAGAAAAAGCCAAAAGACGCCTCCTACCTCAGAAGGAACAGTCCACCTCCCCCCACAGTGTCAGGGAAGCCGACGGACAGACACCCCCTAGGAGGGAAAGAAAAAGAGTTTATAAAGGTCGATGAAGATTTTAAATTCCTAACAGCAGAAGACCTCCAATTTAAGATCCCCCTAAAGGAGCAGTGCGACTTGAGAGGCTTATTCAGAAATCTGATAGACGAAATTAAAAGCAGCAATTACCTGAACGTGTACAGGAAGATGTACGTAGAATCGTTTAGGAGAAATCAGCGGAAAATTCAAGACGACTCGATTGACTCGATCGGCTCCACGGGCTCCATAAGCTCGATTCTCCTTACCACTGGAGATTCCCATGGGGGAGATTTTACAAATAATAACGTCAGGCAGGACACGCCTTTTCCCACTGCAGAGGGGATCATTCAAGTCATAAAGTTCTACGTCGAAAGGGTGAAGAGCAGCTTGTGCCTCTTCTACTTCGACCTGTTTTTGTGCATCTTAAAAGGTGCCGTGGGGGTCGATTGCGGAGTCAACTTTATTGCCAACGATTTGGCGGACGTCCACCGGGAGAGCTTCGCGAAGTTATTGGAGGTGGTCGCCACGGGGGCGAGTCCCACAAGGGGAAGTCCAGCGAGGGACATCCCAACGGGGAAAAGCCCGTCCAGGAACAACCAAAACGGAGTGCTTACCAAATCGATGAATTGCGAAAGAACGCAACTACTCCAACGGAACTTCGCCGGCCACGTGAAGGAACTAATCCTAAACAGCCTGCATTACCTTATCGAGCTGTTAGAGCAAATGAGAGAACACAACTGCGCCAACTATGTCCAGTATAAGAATACCATCTCGAGGTGTGTCATGTCGCTAGAGGCTAAGAAGGTTATTACATACAAAGAAGCCACGACCTACATTGAGTGTAAAAATTTCGACAAACTCAGCATCTTCAATAAAGAATTAAACAAGCTGGTAACAAAAATGAAAACGAAAAATATGTATAGCATATGGGTCTACAATCTGCTAAGGGAGAATGTGAATGGCTACTCAAAGATCATTTTCCTTTTGGAGAGTTTTTTTTCCACCCCTAGGGGAGACTCTCCCTCGGGTGATTCTTCTACTCGTAAGAAAATATACAAATTAGGAAAAAAAAAAATCTTTTCGGAACGTCTTTTAAAGTGTAAACTCCGAGGCAGGAAGATGTTTGGTAGAACAAAGAAAGAGAGAAGAGGAAAAATTAGCCATGGGAGTGATCTGGATCTGAAGGGGCAGAATCCACATTGTGCTGCACAAAGTGAGGGGCACTCCCCCGGTGACGTCTCTCCTTCTACGCTGTGCACCCCCGAAGGGGAAGACCCTCCCACTCGCGGGGAGTCAACAACGCGGGATGAGACAGAAGCACAAGCTGCCCCAGCAGCGCATGATGAGCAGCTCACTCATGGGGAAATGCCCCCCTGTGAGGAACCCCCCACCTGTGAAGTGCCCCCCACCTGTCCAAAACCGAAGAAACAATCCTCCCCGCGGAAGCACCATTTCGGAGAAAGCACAAGAAGGTCATGGGAGAGGCACCTGAACTGCTACTACTGTACCGAGCTGATAAATTTAAAAAATCAAATTTTTACCATCGCGGGGCTTCACAACTTGTGCCCGCGGAGGATACTCTCCATTCTGATTTTCTTCTATGAGCAGAATGTGGACAGCCCCAAGCAGTTGCTTCCTCTCTTCTTCCTCTACACAAAGGAAACCATCACGGATATCATTCTCCTCGAGTTAAAGATAAAAAATAATTACATCAAAGAGGTGGAACAGAAGGAATTACAGAAATTGAAATACCTCCATCGGAGTGAAGAAGACATAGGAGGAAGAAGCAATCCCGACATGAGCCGATCTCTAGATCATTTCTTTCTGAGTAAAAAAAATCTCTTCACCCCTAATTACTTCAAAATGTGCTCCATTCTAATTTTAAGTGACCTACTCAATTTTAACACCTTTTACGAGCATATCCTGCCAAATGATCAGCTGCTCAAAATTGCATTTGAAGATCTCTATAGAAAGCTCTGTGAAGATTATGAGAAATCCACATCCGACAGATTGACCCCTTTCTTTTTCCCTTACCTCCCGATGGATATAACCGAGCTGTACGTTCTGTACAATAAAGTGAGTAAGTACAGTCAGAGGAGCAGAACTCCGGATCGGTCTTCCTCCCGACATGGTAGTACCACTGATCATAGCTACGGTAACAGCTTCGGACATAACAGCCACCCCTCCGGTGACTCTGTGCAGAAGGGTAGTTCCTGCGCGAATGAGAACATCAGGGGGGAGAGAGGCCACAGCGGCAAGTCTGGCAGCACCACGGATGGAACGACCCCCAAAGGGGAGAAAAACTCCAAAGGGGTAATCTCATCAAACACACCCAACACCTTTACCACCTGTGACGCATCCCGGAGCATCCTCACCAAAATTTTCGAACAAGGGAAACCCGAGGGTGTGCAAGACCGTGTAGTGCACTATCTCTTGAATTACAAAAGTGTCGACATTAAAAAAAAAAACGAACAGATTGCAGATCTTCATAACAAGGAACCGATTGAATTTTTTCTATTTGACATGATTCACAACAAATCCAATGGTGCAGAAAATTTCGTAAAGAATTACATCGACAGGGAAATACAACTGAGAGACGAAATGGCAAACTCGAAACATCTGTCTTACACCAATTCGTATGACTATCTCTTTCTTCAGGAAGACAATTATTTCTTTCTACTAGGTCGACTCTTCTTTTTGAAAAATCCAAAGTTCCTATTTCTCTCCTCTCTGATTAATCTAAATGCCTGGAGCTATGTCGTCACTTTACTACACCATATGTCTACCTACCAGTGCAACCCCTTCCTCAACTACTACGTCAGTTGGTCTATGTCACGGCTCATTGGACATTCCATAACGTCATTCGAGAGGGAATATCTCGCTGGCGAGGCTTCTCGGGAGGTACACACAGGAAGTGCATCAAATCCATCCAATCCGTCGAATCAGAAATTGAGACAAGTGGCGCATACGCGGAAGATGACCAACTTAAATGGGGGAGAAGCTCCCTTTAGCAGGGACAACACTCCCCATAATGATACTCCCACTGCTCAAAATGGAGACACCCATGGACCCTGTTTCTTCTGCAAGATTCATCTTGACACCAATAGGCTTTGCGGCTACCAGTGCATCAAAGTGCTGAACCGGAACAAGACACATTTTCAAAACCTCTTCAGGGACGAGAAAAAAATCCAGAAGAAGAAAAAAAAAATGAAACAAATTTTAAGAAGCGTTATTTACCGTGGGGGGGGCACCCCTGGGGGAAGGAATGCCAAGAGGGATAAGAATGATACCCGTTTTGATGATAGTTACTCTTACGAGAAAGCAAATGGAAGTGCCAAGAAGGAGAAGAGAAGCAGCTCCACTCAGTCCAATCGGCCCAATCAGACCTATCGCTCCTCGACCCTGCTTCTCCCCCTGAAGAAGCATCTTCTGCTATGCTCCACCGCCCCCCCGTCTGACGATTCTTCCGAGGTGGACTCGGTCGATTTTGCGCCAAATGGGAAGAACGAAGGAGGGGCGAAGGATAACCACGCGCCGGTCCCCCAGGGGGACGCATCCGTTAAGATGGAACCGATTAGCAATGCGGGTCCCACTACAACTGCCGAGCTCAGCAATGCAGATCTTAGCAGTGCCGACCCCGCGACCAACCTGGACACGTTCCTGAACTTCTTCTCCTCCAACCGAACCAACGACTACATGAAGAAAATAAAAAGCGTCGACGATTTTTTCAATAGAGCATTGCAGTATGTGAAGTATCTGGGATACTTCGGGTATCTCTACAAATCCCTGGTGAGGAGACTGCTGCTCATAGTGAAGGCCTACGTGAGGAGGAAGGTGACCCGGGGGGAGGAGCTGCATAGCAACTTTGATAAGCTTTTTATCCGTTTTTTTTTCCTATGCCCGATAAATGAGGACGACGAGGCAGAGGGCCCCCGGAGCAACGACGGAAGTGGTGGGGGTGGCGCTAGCGGTGGCGGTGGATCCCCTCTGAATGAGGGCATATGGAACGTGCTGCGACTCATCCCTGTGTCCAGGCGCTACAAGCTGTACGCAAAATTTTACACCAAAGTGGAGAAATATCAGAAGGTTCTTTCCAAACTGGCGGTGGCTTCCCAATCAGGTACGAGGGACACCACCGGATGTGACAGCACCGCACCTGCCCCTCCCCTGTTGCCCCACGCTAAGGCAGCCATTGTCCTCTCCATCATCAACTTCGAATTATCCAAAAACAGATTGAGAAAAATTATAAAAAGAATTACGTCAGATATACTGAAAGATAGATACAGCACGAAGGTGCAAAACATCCTAGTGCAGTTGACCGGGGTGATCAATAGAAATCCCTTCATTTCGTCAGACGTGATTCTTCAGCAGTGTGAGCTATTCGATAACAACATGATCATAACTCTGTCTGAGTCGATAAAAGACATACACAGCTTCTCCAGTGATATCTTTCTCTTCAAAATTGTAGAGAGACAACAGAAGCTAAATGTGAGCAACTATCAGTTAAGCAAACAGTACAGCATGAACAATTCAGACTTATTTGACGACTCTCTTTTCAAACCGAAGAAGCTCATTAACCTTTCTCTAATGAGTGCCAAATTTTTGTCCAAACATCCCTTTGCGGATTTTTACCCTCTTATCATCTCCATCGTGAAGAGGTTATTTTCGGAGCTGCACATCTCGGATCAGCTATTCCTTAGGAATAGACGAGAAGGGCTGCAGTGGAGGAGGGACTCCATATCACCTTCGGTAGAAGCACATGTGAAGGGTGAGCCACACGAGGGGAAAGAACCATCCCAGGGGAGCAGGACCATCCCCTCACACTATAGCGACGAATTCAAGGTAACCATCCTAAACGCGATGAATGTCAAGTACCCCGACCTTATGAGCGGCTATATTTTCGACATAGACTACCTGCAGAAGCTTATCGAAATTTACGGAGGGACCAGCGCATCCATCGACGTACAAGAGCTTAATGAAGATCAACTGAATGCTCAGTGTGGTCTCAAATTGCTCAAAAAAGAAATCATGATACTGGAAGAGAACTTCAATTTTAATATGAACAATGTAGAATATGAACATATAGAGAAAGCTGAGATGGATGATGAACGGCTACAAAAACTCTGCATTGATAATGCTACCAGGAATCTTTCCAATCCTAATGTTGTCTATCTCTTCTTGTGTACCTTGTCTAAATTGAAATATGAATACCTATTCGATAGTAACACAAATAACTTAAGAAATTTATCCTCCCTAATCGACAAGGTCGATGCAGTCCTCCTTCAGTTTATCAATTTTCTCCAGACGAACACGGAACCCTATCTCTATTTGGCTTACATTCCTAGCATAACTTTGATTTTTTCCTACTTTGACATTTCGCAATCGTTTCACATCGTCCGATTTGCCTTCCCGTTCTTCGATGAGAAGGCCCCTTCGAAGAAGCAGCAGAGGTCCTCCTCCCCCTTGCCCCGCGGGAAGGGCGGTTCTCTGAGTAGAGGCGATGGCGCTAACAGAAGCGATGCCCCGAACAGAAGCAATGCCGCTAACAGAAGCGATGCCGCTAACAAAGACGATCCCACCTTGCACCACTCCAACGAGGAGAAGTGGAAACAAGCCATCCTGCCAATCGTCCGGAGGTACCTAAGCATAGAAAATCTCAACGGAATTAACATCGATTTTTACCTGACATACTGGAGACTAAACATCACAGATATTTATGTGCCACACAAGCAATACCAGAAGGTAATAGAAAAGTATGACTCTTACATAAAGAAGCTAGAGAAACATCATGAGGACAATAAGAAGAATGAAGAATACAAATGGATTAACAAGAAGCTGAGAAAGCTCCGTTCCAGAAGAGGAACCATCAACAGTGAGTACCAGTATCACATTGCACATACAGAGAAAATAAAAAAACACTTATCGTATGTGGTAGACCACTGGGTGAACCCACAAGAAATTGATCTCACGACCTTCACCGCATTCGTCAAATGTCTCATCGCCCCGAGAATATTAAACAGCGAAAAGGATTCCCTCTTCTGTTCTAAGTTTATACTCCTTCTTCTGGAGTTCCGCACCCCTCTGTTCAATTTCTGCCTCCTAACCTACGTATGCATCAAGATGCTCATGCCAATTATAAATGCCTGCACCGAGAAGGAAGCTCTCAACATTGGACTGTTCTTTAATGAGTTGTTTTCTTACATCTACCAGTTATGTAACGATCCAAAACATTTTAAACTCGTGTCTGAAGGGAACGCATGCTTTAGCAGCACACTCAACTTCGAGTCGAAAGTTACGATAGAACATTCGTGTATTATTGGGAAGGTCGCCAAATGGGAGAAGCTCCTCGTTTCTCTTCTCTTCGAAAATAACAATCATCAGAAATCTTGGATTAACTCAAAATCAGTCGTTATCTTCCTCTTTCGCGTCCTTCATTCCTTTCCCTACTCGAACAAAGTAAAGCAGTCCATAAAGAAGTACCTGCAGAATCTGCACTCCTTCGCGCAGAGCCGTGGCTGGAAGGACATCGCCATCTCCGTCAACAGCTTGAAGACCATCATGGAGAGGAATCGGTAAGTGGCGCGCGACAGCGGGATGATGAGTATCCGCCTCGTCCACTGCGCGTTAATGGATACCCGCGTCGTTCACGGCTCGTTAATGGGTGTTACTGCCATGCAGTGCGTGGCCGCCTCATCCAGTGCACGTTCACCTCATCCAATCCCCGTTTACCTATCACCAATGCAGCAAAGCGGCTGAGAAGGAAAAGAAGGAGGAGTCCGAGGCGAAGCCCCAGGAAAGAAAAGCCAGCTCGTCCAAGGCAACCGGTAGGTCCCCTCTCTACTCGTCGGCGCGGTCAATCTGTTCAGCGTGCTATGCATGCTTTGTCGATAGCATATATCCCGCATTCTTTACTCCCTATGCGTGCGTTCATCCCCTCCACACACTCGCCTCTCCACTCTGCACACTTCACTAATTTGCTACGCCCCGCAGCACCCGCGCCGAAAGCTGATGGAAACGTCACGATGAACCCATTCAATACCTCCAACCCGAAGCACATGACCTCGAACGCCAACGCGAACGCCAATGCGAACGCGAACTCGGGCGCGAACTTTGTGCCCATAACGAAGAATATGTACAACCCAAGTAAGGCGCAAATGGGGACCCGTACTTTCGCACAGCTCAGCAGATGCTCTGTGAATATCTAGCTGAGCCGATTAGCTAGCTGCTCTTTGAGTGATCCCATTTGTAGAGAGTTATCCGTCTGTGTACCGCGTCCTCCCGCGACTACACATTGAGTAGCTCCCACCTCATTGCACCCGTTTCACCACCCCCCACAGACATGTACCCCGTTTTGCACAACACCATGAGCATGCCGCCCAAGGCGTATATGAAGGAAAACACATTTAACAACAAAATTCCTCCACCACAGGATCCGAATAAGTACTTCATGAGAAATAAATTTCGATTTTTCTAACAATTTTGTTGATTTGCGACTTGCTATGCATAAGGATGATGCATTTTTATGCCTCTTCTAGCGCTAGGCATTGTGCATGCTATAACCTGTCCTCAGTCTCACGAATTCTTAGTCGCCTTTCGTGTGCGTACTTATGCATTTGTGTGGAGTACTGTACGGTTGCCCCTGCGTGTGTACGCCCCTTCCTTAGCTTAGGGTTACAAAGGAAAAGGAAAAGAAACCAAAAAAGAAAAAAAAAAAAAAAAAAAAAAAAATTTTACGGGTTTTTTTTTGCCGAAAGAAAAAAAACTTTTTTAAATTTTTTTTTTTTTTTTTTTTTTTTTTTTTTTTTTTTTTTTCTTGGTGTAATAAATTATGAACAAATTGAAAACGATATAGGGCGAATAATTAAAAGGAGAAAATGTTACAGCAAACAGCGCCGGGCTTATGTTCTAACGCGTACGCGCCTTGTGCGTGTGGGGAGATCGGAATTGCGACGTGGCAACTCAGGGGGTTCTGCCGCGACAAGGGCGCCTCGAACAGGGGTCAACCGTTAATAGCGTTGTGCACATGCATGAGTGCGTACAACACGTGCCTTCATACATCCACTCATTCGTACATGTGCACATATACATATGACCTCCTCTACACTTTCCTGCCCTCTCCGCAGCATCATGTCCCTGTCTTCAATTAACCCAAACACCATTAGCATAAATAACGACATGAACAAACGAAGAGACATTTTTAACGGCATGCAAGGCAATGCAAATTCTTATTCGTCCCCACGTCCCAACGCATTAGTTCATATGAATGACAAAAATATGATGAACAAAAATATGAGAATGGACAGTCGTGCCATGCAGAATGAAGGGATGAATTATACTATACCACAGAACTTTATGGGTATGCATCCGTACATTCCTCCACCTATGCATGACATGCCCCCAAACCAGATTTTCCCAAATGTGCATCATGGTCATATGAAAAAGAACAGAAATTCGAACAACTTCTCACGCAGATAGAGGGCCTCTCTATTCTCGAAGGCCCATGTTAGGAGACCCATTTTCTACGTGTTTTCCTTTTCCACCTTAAGTTACCCATACTTGAGCATAATTTGAAGCTGCCTTTTAAGGCGCATTTTGTAAAATTGGGTTGCAACTCGAACAGTGATTTTTTCTTAAACATGTGTGTGTTTTTCCATTCGTTCGTATTTTTTTTTTTTTAAACTTTTACCTGTCTTGTTAATAAAAAAAAAAAAAAAAAACAGCCAAAGTGGGAACAAAAAAAATAGCCAAAATGGGAACAAAAAAACCCAAATGACAAAAAAAATTAATGGGGAAGAAAACCCCTTTAAGATGGGAAAAACCCCCAAGTGAGTCCCCCTCCAAAAGCGAAGCGCAACTGTGACGAAAGCGCACTTTTGGCAATTTTTCCAGTTCGCAGTTGACCCCCTCTCCCCGCCATCTTGAAAGAAATCCACTCGTGCAGAAGCCACATGAGATTTACCGAAAGGGGGGGAAAATCCTCTTGCACGAACCGGGAGAGAATTGAGCGAGGTTAAGCGGGGCCAAAGGGGTTTAATTAAGGCACCTCCACATTGCGCCACACCCTTCCACATGCAGAACCGCGCAAAGGGACGAACGAAAGACCACACCCGTCCACATGCAGAACCGCGCAAAGGGACGAACGAAAGACCACACCCGTCCACATGCAAAATGGCCCAAAAGGACGAATGAAAGGGCGACCCCCTCTCGCACCCCCTAACACGCGCCCACTTTGGCGACCCCCTTTTCGCCCCATTTGATTAAAATAAAAAAATAAATACATCTTCCTCAAAAGGACATGTAAAGACGGGGGACTCAGTCCACACTTTGTTCACAACAAAAGAGGAGGCCTCTTAAAGCAACTTACAAGTGTAAGGTGCGACACAAACGGCATGGCAAACGGTATGCCAAATCGCATGCCAAACGGCTACCATCACTTGCGCACTTTAGACGATTCGATTATTCACTTCACATGGCCTCTTCGCGAAACGCACAGCACTTAGCAGATCGACGTGGCAGTTTATTCTGCCGAATTCGTATGTGTATATTTGCACAACATTACGCACGCGTCTGTTTGCAAAATAAGCGCATGCACCTTTTTTTCTTTGGGGAAGCATCCCCCTCTGCCCATCAAAAAAAAAAAAAAAATAGCAAAACAGTAAAATAATAATAAATAAACGTCGCCCCCACGGACAAAATTGCTACAGCGGAAGACGACGATTGGGACAAATCGTGTTACACAACATTTCGTGGACGAACTTTTTTAATTCTCTGCTTTCTTTTGCGTCTATTTGTGATGCTTTTCGATCCTTTGCGTTAATTTTCTTACCTTGTGTTATTGATACCATTGATTAGATGAAATCCTCGGAGACATACTGCACTGAGGGAAAGAACAAAACGGGTTCTCGTTTTTCTGCACTTTCTGCATTTTCTGTTTTTTTTTTCCCATTTTCGATAAGCAAAATGTCGAAACAGCAATATTTTGCTAAAAAAAAAAAAATAGAAAAAGTTGCACTAAACAGATATGTCGCTCGTGACGAGCACAGTGCCTTTTGTCAGGCGTGAAATTGAAAAATCGAATCAGCACATATGGTCCCAATTGCTACATTCATTTTCGAGCTGTCAAGTGAACCATATGGGTGCATACCAAAGGGGGGACGGGGGGGTGACCATTTCTGCACAATCGACGGGTTCTGCCGGGGAACCCTTCTCTGTACAAAAATATGTCGCAGGGATGTATATCCCCCGAATGTGTAACTCGAGTGTGTTGCGCGCATCTGTCACACGATTTCATCGATCGAATGGGGAAACTAATTTCCCGCTCGACCGCTCCAACCCAATCTGCCGCTCGACCACTCCAGCCCAATGTGCCACTCGACCTCTCGATGGGCCAAGCCAATCTTCTATTTAAACGCATCCCGTAAAATGTTCACTAAAATATTTTTGCACAATCCTTACCACTCGTAAAGATATATCGCAATGTTACATTTAAAAAAAAAAAAAAAAATGACCCAAAGCATGACACAACTTGCTAACACTGAGCTAGTAGAGTTGAGTACACACATGGCAGAATTTTCCTGCGTTCCGGCGGAGGTGCAAGTGGACAATTGTACGGTCGTGAGAACGTGTATGTATTACTTCTCCCTCTGTGAGTAACTACGAACACGTCACGCAGACTCGCCGGGGTTGGTTGTCATTCCTCACGCCTGATTGCATACAAGCGCGTGTATACACGTAATGTTGCATGCCCAACTGTACACAGCAACAACAACAGAACGCGCACATTTGACATACCCATTCATCAGCGTATATATTTCTTTCCCCCTTTTCCTTTGTTCCTTTTTCTTTTTAACTATCCGTCCTGTGCCACTCGTCAACTTGACGGCAATGCGCGCCACGCTGTTATGAAATGCCTACTTTTGCAATAACCCTCACGTTTCTGTGAATCGGTTGCTTTTGCGTATTTTTTTTTTTCCTTTTTTTTTCCCTTTTTTTCCTTTTTTTTCCCTTTCTTTCCTTTTTTTTTCCCTTTCTTTCCTTTTTTTTTCCCTTTCTTTCCTTTTTTTTGTCATGTGCAGAATGATGCTTGAAGGGGACGGCCCCGCGATGGTGTAATAAAAGTCTTGATGCACCTTTACGAAACTCCGCATAGGCGCGTGCATGTTCAATTGCACTCATCTAGGCTCCTACTCGCTGCGGGGATGCACCTTCCTGAGGACAGCACTAGATACCCCCCTGCAACCTCAACGTGATTATCTTAACACATCAGTTTGCTATGCTTGTTAGTGACACCTTTAAGG